CGATTCTGTATTTACACGGATATTCCTTGGGGTCTGTCCAATGGTGAGACATATTCATGATATTTTTTTATTCTAATATGAACCTAGCACTTTTTCATTGTCAAATCATTGTGACTTTGTGTATCATGCACGACTTATTACTATGTTTACCGGAAATTATAGGTTTTCCAAATCGACCAGGACATCAGTTGATTTGTTCTACTAGATCAACCAAGACTGCCAAAATTAACAACAAAATTTATGACAGTAAAATAATCCGGGACGGAAAGGTTACAATGAATTCCACAATTCCATCAGTCCCTTCGCGATTTTCACGACATCATTTAATGTTTACGCGATTTTCGCCACTGAAAGTTCAAATCCGCGACAAATCCGCGCCTGTTGTAACAGCCCTGAACTTGGTCAGCAAAGTGATGGCCAATCTTTTACGACCCTGACTATAACCGTGTTCCTGCGACACGAAAGGAGACTTGTACACTGTAAATTGAGCGCTTAGAAGTTGACAGCTCAATATCAACAAGGCTATCTAAAACAACTCACAGTTGAGCCAAATTTAACCCAGTATTGCGAAAAATTACCTGTTTTAAATTATATTACAATTTTATTCAAACTGGAGGTTATGACAAAACAGACTATAATATAAGTAATAGAAAAAATCAAGATTAGTCTAGATTATAAATTTTGAAAAAAATACAATGGAGAGAAATTAAAGCAAATTCTCACGATATGTATAAACAACACAAAGAGTGAATTTCCAGATTAATCCACAGAATTACAAATATGTTATAGAGAAACTTTCTAGGAAATACCGAAAAGAATCATAAACATATTGAAGGGAATCCTGAAACCAACTCTTACGACTTCAAATCTCATCCCCGCATAAATCACGAATTACCTAAAATATATTTAAGTGTCTGTAATACAACAAAATAATCATTTAAGACAATTTTAAATCATCCTAAGGAAATCTTTAAGAAATTTCCAAAGGGATCCTGATATAAGTTCCAAAGACATAATTTAGTTAATTCAGACATTGAAAATTTTACAAGATGCCGTACACTGACATTCAAGTTCAAGATTAAGATTTGTTATGGTCACTCACACCATCAAAGCATGCTGCTCATGTAAACTGCAGGCAAAGCTTGCCTCTACCGCTTTTTGCGCTAGTGTTCACACAAATAATATGGACCCACTTTTGGATCCGAAATTCCATTTCTGTTATGTGAGTGAGAGCATAAATATAAGCAGCGTTGCCAGGTTACCAGATTAATCTGGCACAGCCAGAGAAATTTAAGCTCTGCCAGACAGATTTTTTGAGAAATCTGGCGATTCCCTACATTAATTTGCTGAGCCAAATTTTGCCAGACTTTTCCAAAATAAACCTGGCATCCCTGGGTATAAGATTTTCAGGCAACTGACAGGGCCTATACCGACAACATAGTTTGACATTAAGCAGCATGTCCCGAGCCCAAATAATGTGTTTTTCTTACTTGAACCTCTACACAAATTCAATATCCTAGACATGGATCAATTTTCTAGATTCTGTGACATGAAAATAGATCGGCTATGGCAGATTATGCACGAGTACGGATTTCCGGAAAAACTGACGCGATTGGTGAAGGCGACGATGGATCGAGTGATGTGCGTTGTTCGAGTTTCAGGGACACTCCCAAGTCCCTTTGAATCTCTAAGGGGGTTACAAGAAGGTGATAGACTTTCGTGTCTGCTATTTAAAGGGTGTCCACGATGAAATTGCCACACTATGAAATTGCTCTAACTTTTTAACCGTTGGGTAGAATTTAATGAAAATTTGGGTGGATTTAGTTCATAGTGCATTATTTACATCCTGCAAGTTTTAAAGTCCTGTGATCAAAACTCGCGGAAATGGAGTCGAAAGAACAGCTCGTGCGTGATAAAATCTTGCGCATTCATCACGAGAACAAGGATCTCTCGCATCGTTCCATCGCTAAAACGTTGGGAATCGCGAATTCCACGGTGTCGCGAGTGATTAAGCGGTTCGAGGAACGGTTGACCACCGATCGGAAGCCCAGAAGTGAAGGAAAAAGTATTCCGTACAACACCAAAAATCACAACCGCGTAGTTGGGGCCTTCAACCGAAATCCGAACGCCTCCGTTAGGGATGTGGCTAAGAAGCTGCACCTAAGCCGAAGTTTTGTCCAGAAGGCCAAAACTAAGGCTGGGCTTCGAACGTTCAAGGTACAAAAGGCCCCTAATCGCGACGAGAAGCAGAACAAGTCCGCCAAAACCCGTGCCAGGAAGTTGTACCTCAACATGCTGACGAAAGTTGAATGCTGCATCATGGACGACGAAACATATGTGAAGGCCGACTTCAAACAGATCCCCGGCAACCTGTTTTTCACGGCCAAGGATAAGTTCAGCGTTCCGGAGCATGTCCGCACTCAGAAGATGTCCAAATTTGCGAAGAAATTCCTGGTTTGGCAAGCCATCTGCACGTGCGGGAAGCGGAGTGCACCTTTCGTGACCCAGGACACGATGAACGGACAGGTGTACATAAAAGAGTGCCTCCAGAAGCGGCAGCTTCCTCTCCTAAAGGCCCACAACGTCCCAACAATCTTCTGGTCGGATTTGGCCTCATGCCACTACTCCAAGGACGTGCTGAAGTGGTATGCGGACAATAAGGTCAATTTCGTGCCGAAAATGTTCAACCCTCCCAACACTCCGGAGCTCCGCCCCATCGAGAAGTACTGGGCGATTATGAAGCAGCACCTTCTTAAACGACCTAAGGTAGTGAAGACAGTCGAGGAACTGAAGAAAGTATGGGTTTACATGCAAAAAACGGTTGATTCACAGGTTGTGCAGAATCTTATGGCCGGGGTTAAGGCCAAGGTGCGGGTATTTGCGTATGGACTGTAAATAAAATACGAGTAAAATGGTAAAATGAAGTTTAATAGTTATTTCTCAATCCCTGAAAATTTGATGGCAATCGGATGAAAACTCGAATTTTGCGAATCAATTTTGTGTGTGGCAATTTCATCGTGGACACCCTTTAACATAGCGTTAGAAGGTGTGATCAGAAGAGCTGGGATAGACACGAGTGGCACGATTTTCCAGAAGTTCATCTAACTTCTTGGCTTCACCGATGACATCGGTATCATGACACGGAACTTTGAGACGATGGCGAAAACGTACATCAGACTGAGGCTGAAGCTAGGCGGATTGGACTTTTGCCATCGAAGACGAAATACATAAGAGGAAGAGGTTCTAGGGAAAACAACGTTAGCCTCCCACCCCGAGTTCAGATTGACGGTGACGAAATCGAGGTGGTCGACGAGTTCGTGTATTTGGGCTCACTGGTGACCGCCCGAAATGATACCACCAGAGACATTCAAAGACGCATTATGACAGGGAATCGTGCCTGTTTTGGACTCCGGAGGACGCTCCGGTCGAATAAAATTCGCCACCGCACGAAGTTGACTATCTACAAGACGCTGATTAGACCGGTGGTCCTCTACGGCCATGAAACCTGGACTATGCTCGTGGAGGACCACGGTTGGTGTTTTCGAACGGAAGGTGTTGCGTAACATCTACGGTGGATTGCAGATGGATGACGGAACGTGGAGGAGGCGAATTGCACCAGCTGCTGTTCCATCGTCCACATTGCCAAAATTGGGCGACTACGGTGAGCTGGGCACGTCGCACGAATGCCGCACGACGACCCAGTGAAAATGGTTCTCGAAAGCGACCAAACAAGAACAAGAAGAAGAGGCGCGCAGCGGGCAAGGTGGACCGACCAAGTAGAAGGCGACCTGCGGACCCTTCGCAGACTACGAGGCTGGCGAAGTGTGGTCATGGATTGAGTAGAGTGTAGACGACTTCCCGGACAGCAGAGGACAATAAGGCCTTAAGCCTGATTGGTAACGTAAGGTAACGTAAGTGACATTAAAAATCTGCAACATTAACAAAAATCTTCGAAATGTTGGTCATCAGACATCGAACATTAAGGATTGCAAAGATTAACAAACAATCGCGTGTCGGAGGCTTAGGGATTGTTAGGATTTTCACTAGCATCATTTAAGAAAATCTTAGACGATCTTGGATTTAACAAATTACAGACACCCTGAAACATTGCTATTTATTCTAGATCTCAGACTTAATTTTTGGTATCTACTAAGTATTCGGAATTCCGAGCTTGAAGAAATGTTGTAAGGGAAATATCCGAGGCATCAAACTTAGAATTTTACATACAACAAAAACATACATCTAGATAGAGCTGGAATTAGGGCGTAACAGCTTTTGTAAATAATTACTCCTCTCGATGATTTCCAGAAATTCAAGGCATACCCACGCAAAGCAACATCGCCATCGGGTAGGGGAACTTTTCTATATATGTATTAAGGCTCCAATGAAATTTACGGTTCAGTGGCAATTCTGAAATTATCGCAACTTCTCTGGGCATTGAAGTATCATTGTCCTTGCCACACAATATTCAAAAGCATGCATTTCGTTGACATAGCAAGCTCTCAATCAATAACTGTGGAAGTGCTTCAAAGAGCACTAAGAGAAGACATAAGCTCGAAAAAGAGCGTCAACGCCAGGAAGATGAAGTAAAGGGAACTATTATTATTAAAAAGGAAATTACTAAATGAAAAAATCATGATATGATTTTCGTTGATCGTTTTGGTGCCACGAAGCGTCTGCTAAATCATGGAATAAATTTAGTTTTGACTTTCGATGTACATGCCAACATTTTAAATACATTCTAAGAATCTATAGGACATAATAGAAAACACAATTTCCTATATGACTATATTGTATCCTACTCGAGCAGTGTATTTATTTTTCTATTTACGCCAGCTTAGAGCCGTCGACACCAATTTCCCAAAATCAACATCTGCGTCCACGTCCATTGAACGTACCACATATCTAGTTAATTCAATTTGCTGACCTGACGAGGACGCAGTGCCTGGTTTTTTTTTTTGTTATCATGACACGAAAGAAGAAAAACAGTAAATACTTACACAGCTTATCTTGTGGTACGATTTTGTAGAACGACGACGGACGAGGGCACAGTGACTAATACTATTTTTTTTCACCGTCGAAAGAGAAACGCTGTTCCAGCAGTCGGAGGGGTTGGTAAGCACTCAAAGTAGGACGAATTGAAGGATCTTTTGCGTCCCTTAAATCTTGTTCAGGCCCACTTAACAAGTAGGTAATCGATCATACTAAATGGCAATCAGCTTCCTTTTTCATACTTCTGCACTTTGCTCCACGATAAATGCACACACCATGTATGTAGGTTACAAACGGGCAGAGAAGAAAAATAACAATCACTTGTTCCTCGGAAACACCAATAATATTGCAAACTTTTTTTTCTCGCCACACACTAGCAGCTGGACAGAATGCTTCAACTACAGCGAAAATTCCAATCAATTTCGATTATTCCCATCCATCGGCGGTTTCTCTTATCTGTGGGCAAACTTTCGACACGTTTCTATCACTTTCAGTGCACAATGATTGCCAAATTAATCTGATTTTTCGACTACCAATGTGACAACACCCCGCGACAAGGTTTTGATTTTGAAACACCTTCAACTTTTTCCCATTTATTGTCGCGTTTTCTTCTTGCTTGACATCTTCACACGCGTAAACCCAACACCATCACCAGAGGGCACAAACACATTCGCCCATCCAGCCACGCACACAGGCACACGTGGAGATTTCGTTTTTCCTTCAATGCGCTTCGTTTGGCGATCCATTCAATGACGATTTTCGGTTGTCAAAAACTTCGTCACCATTTTCAAAATGCTAATTATTACCAGAATTTGTTTTCCCGTTTTACACACTTTGAAGCGGCGTTTCCGGTTGATTTCACTGTAAAAGCAACACTGCAGGACAGTAGTCACGAAAATAATGCAAGAATGTTTATTATGAGATGGATAAAATATGATTTGAATCTCTATAGAAAATACACAGAAGACAGTATCAGCAGCAGCAAGTGAACAGCAGGAACAGAAATACCAAACGACCACACATCTGAAGCAAACTTCGCGTAGTGACTGACACTGACGCAACGAGCAATCACGAACGTCGAACGAATGCAAACCAATCCGAATGCGGTGGCCGTCGTCACGTCGCGGAGACAAGTGCAAGTGCATAGCTCGATGCATAATCCATGTTCAGGAGAACAAGTCTGGCAATGTGAAATTAGCCGTCTCGTTCAGTCCCTGGAAACTGTTATGGAACAGTTCCAGTTACTATGAGATTTACGGGATTGACAAACGCCCTAATAAAAATTGTATGGTTAATTTGCTTAACGACGTGTTCTGGGTATTATCCAAACCATTTATGGAATAGTTCAATGATTTGGGTTATCGTTCGTTTATGGTTATTTTTTATTAGGGCGAGTATAAACAGATGAGACCAAGTGAATTTGACGCCACACTCCGACTCCATCAACCATTTAAACAACGGGAAAACAAAAGAGACAACGAATTCACATATTTTACCTGTGTTCATCACATTAGGGTTTGAGCGTTTGAGGACACACTCGCTTTTGCAAATAATACCTGGAAAGATTAATTCACATTGCCAGACCTGGGCGCCTTGGCATAGGTGTATCATATCCAATGAGCTGGATTACCGAAGTGAAGCAAACGGTTAAGTGTTGAGTGAAACCCCTGTACGATACAAGCAAGTAGTGACGTCACTAATTGCGTTTACGTTGATTTTTTGGTTTACTCGAGGGTTTACTAATCCAACAATATTTCATGATCTATACTGTACCTCTCTCTGTACTCATTGCATCATATCGTAGTGACACTAATGGCGGTAAGCTCCAACTCGGATTAACTTTTAATACCGTCCCTGTTTGTATGATCTGAAAAATGTTTGCTCAGGATTATGTTGATTAACTCTGATGTCGACATCAAACCAGCCGGACATTCTTGATCGGGATTTAATCCGAGGATAATACCGGTTGGAGCTTACCACCATAAAACGATAAATCTAACCAATGGGTATACTTTGTTTCGATTACACTGAACCAAAACATTATCCTGGCATCAAATGATTATTACCTCGCTCTTGTTATATGGCTTGAGCGAAGGCCGTTCGCAATGCTTTTGTTTTTTATATGGACTGTTTCAATTTGAAACTACTGGACAGAAACGCACTGCTCGCAATGTTGCGTTGCAGTTTCATTATGCGAGCACTACATTGCACCACTATTCTGTATTATTTCTGAGCGTTATTATTTTTATTGATTCAAACCAATACACAGCAAAAAAATATGTAATATCGATCAATGTAATTCAAGCTGATGTATGAAATAATGATGTAATAGCAAAAATCAGATGCAATATTACACCAATGGATGTAATTTTGTTCGCAAAATCGATGTACATTGTACAGCGTTATATTACACAACCGATGGATTGACCTGGTTGCAGCAGTTTGGATGTACTATTCAACAACTTTTTTTTCTGTGTATCTACCATAGAATGGATCTCTATTTCAAATAGCCATGGTAGAGTCGCTGTATAATGAGTCACGCCAAGAGAAAAACAGTTGAACTCGCATAACGATTTTCGAAAGATTCCCTTTCTTTTAACTTGGCAACATAGGACTTCTACATCAACTTCAAATGACTTCTAGCGAGTAAAAATAATAGCGGCTGTAGTAAATCATTATATCAGTGATTTTGTCAAATTATCTTAACAAAAATTAGTAGAAATTCTCATTACTTATAATTACCAAATGTATCCCATTACAATTGAATAGTCACTGCGTGTTTATTACCATTTCTTCGATTATATTTTATATTGTATTGCAATACCTTTCGTGGACCTTTCATAGCACCGTAATGTTTGTTTACTTTGCACGATAGGTAGCTGGTTTGACAGTTCGATAGGTAGACTTGTCTTCACTCTTGGCGTGACTCATTATACACTGACTCTAAGCCATGGATGTATTTGTGGAGCTTCTAATCTGACAGATGACAGATGGCCAGGGAAAAACGAGGTGACGAAACGAAATCTCATTTTGTTATTGATTGAGCAAATACATGTGCTTTACATCATAGACATCACTCAGGAAACCAAATGACCTGATTTTTCCAGATCTTATGCCACGGATACACTTGGATGACAAACTATGAGCAACCGGTGGAAACTAACGGTTTTGAACTCGGTTTTGAATTGGCTTACTACTTAATTAGCTTATTCGTCTCAAGCAAATCGATTAACGTACTCCATTCTAGTCAAAATTCTAGTACTATACTATGTTTGTTTTGATTCGCTATGAAAATTTGACAGATAAAATTAGGAGTTCGTGTATTTTACCTCGGATTTTCCTATGTTTCGAGGGGTGCATCGATTAGCTTGGAACCGAAGATAGTACCAGAGCTGAGCCAAAAAGTTGAGCACGTTTCTTCGGGACCTTCTGGTCTTAGAGTTACCTATATGGTGCAACCTATGGTATTGAAAATCCACTAATCCCTCATTTTATCTGTCACACTTTCATAGCGAATCAAAACAAACATTGCGTACTAGTAAATTTTCGACAAGAATGGGGTACTTTAAGGGGGAAATACAAGTAAAATGTTTTTTTTATCGATTTTTTATAGGGGAAAGGTATGTAATGTCGGCCTAAGTGTCCCTAATATGGGCCCATACATATAGATACCACAGACAAACAGACATAACACATTGAATATTTCTCACTGTAAAACATCGTCGCTAAAACATTACCGCCATCTGTTGAGTACACTGTGGTGGGCACTACGCTGAACAGATGGCGGTAGTGTGTAAACGTCAAACGCAAGGGAATTGACTATGCGCGCCACAGGTGGCGGTACTACCAACTACGATACTTTTTAATTGCCCGTTAAGTGCTTGTTCGATGAACAACTTGCGAGTGTTATGTCTGTTTAATAAATATCAGATTTTTAGCGATGGCCCCAATCTTAGATCCATAGGCCAACATTAGAGCCATTTCCCCTATTTTACTTTATTTTTTTTTAATGCTTCGAGCACGGGGAAGGAGTGATCTATGGCCCCGGTATCGCTGATTAACCGTAAGTTCCAGAATTCATGTTTTTACACAACCCAAAACTTTAAACGCGTTTTTCTCGAAACGGTGTTTTTCAAATTGGCGGGAAAGATAACTCAAAAAGTTCTCATCCAAATGACTTCAAACCTGGCGCATATTAAAGAAAATAGATTTTTACACTATGTGAACCACTGATATCATGAAAAAATTAACAATAAATAATTTTCAGGTCTGCCTAAAGTGAAAAAAAAACAGTGAAAAATCGAGTGAAAAATCAACTTTTTTTCAGATTTTTTTTCTAAATTTTTATAATGTTTTTTTTTTTTGAGTTTTAGAGGTTCACGTAGATCAAAAATCTTTTCTGAATAAGGTCCAATTGATAAAAGTAAGTTTTGTCCATTTTTCAGGCCTCTAGAAGGCCCGCCAATTACCAAGGCGACCTCCTTCCGATGTGACCCCAAGGAGCCACAGAGGTCACACACCAATGAAAAAAATCTCAAATGTAGAGGAAGATTTAAGCAATTTAATGCAAAAAACCTCAAACGTTAGCGTTGTTTCATTTGCTTACAAAAAAATTCCGAAAATCTTCGAGTTTTTGACGTGTTACTTGTATTTCCCTCCTTAATCGTTTGCTTGGGACCAATATAGTATATACCAATACCAATATAGTGAACCAATTTAAATCGTTAAGGCCCAAGCGCAATGACAGCGGAAGCGGAACGGCAGCGGCAGCGGAAAAGCCCGATCTGAGTAAGCCTACTTGTCGGATTGAAAACTAGTTAGAATCAAATCGACTTCGGTTAGGCATCTTGATGCCATTTGTGACAACTGTCAAACTTTCCGTTTCCGTTCCGCTTCCGCCCACATTGCGCTTGGGCCTTTAGTTTCGTATTGATTATTGGTACAACCCCATTGGGCTGTCCCTTGTAGTTTTTTGACGTAGGACTACGTCTTTAATTTCTATACTATAGGGTCACATTAAGGTTCTACAAAGGGTCAATAATTTGTTTACTTCTTCTTTTTGAAATATTCGTCAATCATCATTTTCTAAATGTATGGGTAAAATTCATTGGAAGTGCATGTCCTCACGCCAAAACTGCCCACACGGTTAGAAAAAAGTACCCAAAATTAAGTTCTTTTCACTCATCTCGGCACTATAGTGCAGGAACCCAAAAGTAGGTAAAGCGGGTCAAAGTAAATTTCATTTACTTGTGTGCAATTCGTATGGAATTTTCCACTGGCTTTTTAACCAAAAGTAAGTTAGTTGTACCCAACAGTAGGTAAATATGATTATACTCAACGCTGGGTTCCCACACTTTACTACCCCTGTTGGGTGGTTTTGCTCCTCCGTTTTTGACAACATTAGTAGGAGGAAAGGAGACAAACTAGTCAAAAGTAGGTAAAAGTGAACTTTCCGTTGGGTACTTTTTTCTTACCGTGCATGTTTCATAAATATCAACTGGTATGGTGAGGAAAATTTAACCATCTCTTTTCTTCCTTCATTTCAATACAACAGCAAATGTGATGATGTGATAAGAATGTAGCAGATAAAACGTTCACACCTGGGTACTGCGAACACAGCCGTTTTTGTTTTGCAAGTCAGCACGAAACAACTTGAAAATTTTCCGATATCACAAATTGTTTTGCTAATGCACTGCTCACAATTTGCATATACATGCTGTCGAAAGTTCACCCTTTGCTCCATAAATAACGTGTACATGGTGTTGGGAGTGCACCTACACACATGACTCTTATAAAGTTTGTTTGCATTCTTCCTTCAGCAGTTCGTGCAGGTTCGTTCGTTCGTTACATTGTTTACATCCGAGTATTTGAGCAAGTTTTTTGTTGAAGAATATTAGTAAAAAAATGCCGAAATGACAATATTTTCAACATTGACCACAATACGTTCTCTGCCGACGGGGATTGTATGAGAAAAGTATCACTTTTAGCAGCTCTAGATCGTTGGATTCTTTTTGACAGCACCAGTTGGATTCTTTTTGACAACCATTTCGTGTTTCTCCGCACCACTCAGGTTCACACTGCCAGACTTCGCTGTATGCAAGTTTGTTTACACCTAAGAGAAGAGGTGACAATACGGGGGCAAAAATGAACCACTTTTCTGTCAAGCGTGAACCAGCTCCTGATTGGCCGATTTTATGTGCGTAAGATAGAGATAGAGATAGATAAAGATAGAGAAAGAAATAAAAGAGGAAGAAGCCAATTGTCTCTTAGGTTTACACCCCTGAGCGGGAAAGCGAATACCAGGCTACGTGCACTGCTGCCATCAACCCTGTTAGTGTTGAATTCAATCTTCTGTGGCTTTTTAAATTGGACCGATAAAATGCCTAGAATGGTAGTTTTTGTTTTATTTACTCGGTTCTGATATTTATTCACTACTACATTCACTCATCTATATTAATGAGTAAAACTTCAAAATTGCTTGTTTTAATAAACTTAAATCCATTGCTAGAGGCAATACATCTGGCAACGCTTATTCAATGATACTTTTACGATTGCCGGCAAAGCAGTAAAGTTGAAGTGGTTTACTTGGTGTTCGATTTTATTCACCAAGAGTTTTGAGTAGCAGTTGTTTTGGATTTTGTGTATTCGATTGTGTGTTATTGTGCTAAGCTTCGAAGAACACAAGTAAGTAAATACAGTGAATATGTTTTACCCAGGAAGTTTTCCCGCATAAGCGCGAACCATAAATTGACCTTACCTAAAATGGTAAAAATTGTTTATAATCCATGCTAAACTTCAACTGAAATGGTTATGGAACTTTACATGAACGTTTAATGATAAAGTTTCAACCTTAAGTATTATAGTTTTTTGGAAGTGGACCTTACAAATATTGGGTTGTTAAGAACCATTACCATTCAAAATTCTTGTTTTCTCCATACATTTTCGGAAAGAAAACTATACTAAAACCTTTTAACTTATGGTTTGCGAACATTAATGGTATTGGTTATGGTAACCAGTAAGGTCCATAAATGTTTTTGTAACATCGATCAACTTTATGTGGAATATATCGCGAATTGGTTGCCTGTAAATTACTGATTACCAATTCACAATATATTTCACGTAAAGTTGGGCGATAATACAAAACCATTAATGGACCTTACAGACTACCATAACCATAACCATTAATGTTCTCAAACCATAAGTAAAAACGTTCTAATATAGTTCTCTTTCTGAAAATGTATGGAGAAAACAAGAATTTGGAATGGTAATGGTTCTTAACAACCCATTATTTGTAAGGTCCGCTTCCAAAAAACCATAATACATAAGGTTAAAACTTTATCACACAAACGTTCATGTAAAGTTCCATAACCATTTCAGTTGAAGTTTAGCAGGGATTATAAACAATGTATAACCATTATCGGTAAGGTCATGTGATGGTTCGCGTTTCGTTCTTAATCATGAAATACAAGTGTTAATTTTTTGTATTAATAATATGAGTATGTATGTGTGAACCAATGATGATGATTGAAGAATATTTCAAAAAGAAGACAAATACAAATTTAATTACCCTTTGTAGAACCTTAAAAAATCAAAATTCAGACATGTAACGAAAAATCCGAGGAATAATCCCAAACACGGACGCAACGATAGAGCGAAAATCGAATACACGACCCATTGCGCATGCTCACATGAGCAAGCTCAATGCTCGGTTGACCACTCACCATTTCACCGATGAAAGGAAGGGAGGAGAAAAGCAGCTTATTATTGCTATAAACGCTTGCCAATTGGTTTTCTTCGTCATTTGCTTTCGAGCAACGAACGGATAAGCGTCGGACACGACATCACGCATCGCACCAATACGAAGACGACGACGACGAAAGCACCCACATCGACCGGAGGAAAGACTTCTCGCAATAGGCAGCATGACTAGGTCACCGTCATCCGGTCGGCATCGACCTGCACTGGTGTGGTCACCATTTGAAAAACAACCGGCCACCAATTCAAAAACGAGAAGAGTTAAGCACTAAATGACCAACATATTTGTTCCGGCACTAGTGGTCCTACGTCAAGCTTCCGTTCGTGTTCCTAGGCACAGACCTTACAACTTTTGTAAGAATTACTAAACAATAATGCTCAGTGAGTATGTCTCCTGCACATGTGCTGGAAAGTTGCTTCGAAGAGTGCCGGATTAACGAGAAGATACTGTACTATATTTCCAGAAAAAAATATATTCAAATTAAAACAGCAACAAGCCCAACCACTGGGCACATAAATAGGACTGTCAAAATAAAAACACACGTCATCGCTCGCAGAGCTGTCAACAGTTTTGTTGACAGCGTTGATGTTTTTGCTTACGGTTTTATGTGACAAAATGAAGGATAGACTGCTTTTTGCTTTTTTATACGACCATGTTCAAAAAGTACACCCGTTAGAGTAAAGAGTACTGCCCATCTACAACAATGCCGGCAAAGCGAGGACTTTCTTATCATGAAAAAGAAGAACACAACAGGGAATGGTCGATTTGGTACAATTGATGTAAACAGGTGTGGCCCAGTGAATTTGTTGTCTCTTTTGTTCTCGCGCTATTTAAATGCTTGACTAAGTTTGATGTCACACTCCGTCATCCTTTTAAGCAACCGAAGAACGAAAAAGATGACCAATTCACTGGGCGACACCTGTTTACGTTACATTGGATTTTGTTGTGTTCAACACTGGTTTTGACTTTGAGAGAAAGAAAAACCAGATAAGTTCACAATCATCATTCAATCAGTATCAGTGTGCAGTGCAGTGCCAGCGAGCGAATTTATTAAGGGAAAATCAGCCAGCATAGTGTACTTTGGACTCGTTATTTATTGTAAGTTTATTCGTCATTCCGGTGCTGGGTCTAGTCCGGGTAGCCTACTAATACTTTAATCATTCCAGATAAGTAAGCTTGCGCAGGCTCATAAGGTGGCTGATAGCATTTCTGGTTGGTGATATAATACGTCCACTTAGACTAGAAGTAGTACCGAAGCAGGAAGCTAAAAACCAGCAAAAAAAAAATGTCTGAAAATGTTAGCCCCATCAAGTATTTTCTGTCCGGAGGTTTCGGAGGGATCTGTACTGTTTTGGCAGGACACCCTTTGGATACGATAAAGGTGCGCCTGCAAACTATGCCACTGCCTGCACCTGGTCAAGCTCCGCAATTTGCCGGAACGTTAGACTGTGCGAAGAAGACAATCCGAAATGAAGGCTTCAAAGGGCTGTACAAGGGAATGTCGGCTCCGATAGCTGGCGTGGCACCAATCTTTGCCATGAGCTTCTTCGGTTTCGGTGTTGGAAAGAGATTACAGCAAAAGACGCCTAATGAAGAGCTTAACAACACTCAGCTATTTGCAGCGGGAGCTTTCTCCGGTATATTCACGACAACGGTGATGGCCCCGGGAGAGCGAATCAAGTGCCTGCTTCAAATTCAACAGGGAGGCAATGCGCCTCAGAAATACAATGGCATGGTGGACTGTGCTAAGCAGCTGTACGCCGAAGGTGGAATCCGTAGTATTTACAAAGGATCGTTTGCCACACTACTCAGAGACGTCCCTGCTTCGGGAATGTATTTCCTTACATATGAATACGTCAAAAAGGCACTGGCTCCGAAGGATAACGAAAAGGAGGACGCCGGAAAGGGCCTTTTGAGGACTATCTTTGCTGGAGGCATGGCAGGAATTGCCAACTGGGCTATTGGAATGCCAGCTGATGTGCTCAAGTCTCGACTGCAAACGGCTCCGCAGGGAACTTACAAAAACGGTATTCGCGATGTGTTCCGAGAACTGATGAAAAACGAAGGACCGCTGGCACTCTACAAGGGCGTAACTCCGGTGATGTTGCGAGCGTTCCCAGCAAATGCCGCTTGCTTCATTGGATTCGAAATTTTTATGAATTTTTTGAACTTCGTAGCCCCGAACTTGTAGACGGGCAGTGAAAAAGCAGGGATTATCTTATGTTTGTTCTATTTGTCTTGTTTAAGTCTGAAAGATATCGTATTTTTGAATAACTGCGCAAGGTGACGGTCCAATCCAATCTGTTGCCACCTACCTGTTGTTTAACAACACTGGTGAAACCTGGGAGCTAACTGCCTAACATGTTGATACGTTTTGTAGAAAGTTGAAAAAAATATATGACTTTATATGAAACATGTTTGTACGGTTTATTTTATTCTTATCATCGCTCCAGAAATCATCTGATTGCTAATGCGAAACTGTTTCTCTCATCCGAGCATTTTAAACTTGTTTGATCAGCTTGACATGCAATTATTCTATTTAATTTTCTTAGTTAACTATTACCTTTAACATCTAACGAGTTCGTAAATAACATTAGGCACAAACAACGTACCTTTTCTACTTCATCCTCATTACATCCTTCATAACATCAGCCAGATCTTGTACAACCGCACAATCCTCCGCTGGAACGATTTCCAGCTGTCGGTGATGGTCGACCAGATTCATCAGGTTTACTTCGTCCTCGATACAGGAAGCCAACCGGTCATGCAGCTTAATCTCCTCCTCCAACATGGACAGAAAAACACCATCCTGTCGGATTTGCTGTTCCAATTCCTTAACTTTGGTTTGCAGTAATTCGACTTGTTCCGCACTGTAGTCCTTTCGGTGCATCAAATCCGATGGCAGCAGTATGGAATCGGGAATCGTAAAAGTGCTTTTGTAAAGCTGACTTATTTCATCTAGTTTGGGGCCACATTCGACAAACATTTGAAGGCTAGTCGTATAACAATTGGCAAGCATTGCCTTGGCGTCTTTTTCAGGCACTTTGTGCTTTTTGATAAACTCTTTTGAAAATGACAAGAATGTACTCTGGATGACGAACTTCACTAACTGCCGATCTAGGACAAAAGAAATTTAGAGTTCTTGTCTAGAATCAAGATATATTGGTACCACTAACTCTCAGAAATAATGTCATCCGAGCAGAAGTTAAAATGCTGCAATTCGTATTCCACTTTTTCTGTATCCATTTTATCTGATTATAATACGATTTGAACGAAAACGAGAATATGAACGATTTTAATGCAAAAACCGCCACTTCCAACTATTTTCTGCGCTCCCAACAATAGCTACTTTTCAAAGCTCGTGCTGACGGTCTGATAGTAATGGGCGATACTGAACCAAAATATATGAGGACGGATTGCACAAACTATCACGCTATTTCAAAACTCCCCAAATTTGGGTAGAATCCACCCAGATCGTTCAAAACTGAACCTACCCAAAAATGGGTAAACTGTGTTGGGAGTTACAAGTTGACAAATGAACAACATTGACATGAATCCGATCGACGTTGTTAATTAATTATATGATTTGAGTAGTAGCTATACTGAAGATCCGAGAGATGTCGCCCCTTCATTGGTAGGAAAATCATTTTTACAGTATGGAGAATATCAGAAAATCCACGATTTGTGACTAAAACTTGCTTTCACAGAAGGAAACAAATCAACGAGTTTTTACCTTATCACCATAGTAAGGTACTCGTGCAATTTTATTTGCATCTAAAACTGCTCATAATGAGGATAATGAATAAAAACAGAAAATTTTCATGTATTTCTAAATGGTTTCCTACCATTTCCACCCGCATAAACGATAACCATAAGGAGTGCCGAACAAACTATTCGGGTTATTATCCCAACAATATGTGGCACGGTGGCACGATTTGTGGTATCGTTCATGTATGGTGCTCGTTTATTAGGGCATAAATTCGAAAGTGATTGGCCCTCTGGATGTGGATGATGTCAAAAACAACAAAACATGATTAATTTGTCAACTTGTCACTCCCAACATAGTTTACCCATTTTTGGGTACGTTCAGTTTTGAAAGATCTGGATGGATTCTACTCAAATTTGGGTAGTTTTAGAATAGCGTGTACTGAATTAAGTCAAGAGTGAAGGCCCAAACGCAATGTGGGCGGAAGCGGAACGGAAACGGAAAGTTTGACAGTTGTCACAAATGACATTAAGATGCCTAACGGAAGTCGATTTGATTCTAACTAGTTTTCAATCCGACAAGTAGGCTTACTCAGATCGGGTGCCGCTGCCGTTCCGCTTCCGCTGTCATTGCGCTTGGGCCTTGAAACCAACCGGTGGGGGTGGAAACTAAAGGTCAGCGCTCAATGGATAAGTTTTCAGGTTTTTTGACAGTTAGCCTATGCATTATCTGTCAAAAAACCCGGAAACTTATACATTGTGCGCCAGCCTTAGGGTACAGCCAGGGTAGACGCGACACGCGACGCGACTCACGCAAGGAATAATAATAAATAATAAGATTCTTTTGAATCGGTCGCGTCGCGTCGCGAATCGCGTCTACCCTGGCCGTACCCTTAACGATTTTAAATTGACTTCCCTACGTAAGATCTCACTAATACAACCTAGTGAGCTTAGTCGTGTAAAATCGATTTGTTTATTATTTTCAACCACAAAATCAGCTGTCAAAATGTTCGACTTGACAGCGGTTTGCTTTTATTTTCAACCAGTAAAATGCATGTATTAGTGAAACTTCTCACTAATACTAACGGTGGCAGAGAACTCTATTGGCTCACTACTTGACTACACGCTACTTGAAAACTACCCAAAGTTGAGTAGAGTCTACCCATTTCGGCCAATACTGAACCTACCCAAAATATGTAAACATATATTTACCCAAATCTGGGTAAGCGTACGTGCTACATAAAGTGGGTAACGGTTACTCAGATGTTGACATTTGATAACTGGGAAAACGTTACCCATTTAATAGAAATTTGTTGATATGACCACTGCAGCAGCTCTATCAAATATAACCTCACGCGATTCTAGCTCGTCTAGCCTGCTAATGATTGTCGACAAAATGTATCCAACATTTTACGATCGCATATGGCCGCCACAATCTGGCTGAGTTTCTGGTAGGGAACATAATATTTGAAGTGTAAACGATTAAATTTGAACGTTTATCAGTCAAACGACACAACCTAAACGTCAATTCATATGTTCCCTACCAAAAACTCACTGATTTTAAATAAGTTTTATAAATTAAGAACAACAACAAATATTTGTCATCGAGAAAAGCGGAACAGAATATCTGGATAACCTAAGTAGAATTATAAGAAAGATTAATGTTCAGAAACTAACAATATACACTGCTGCCCTGGTATGAGTGCTCATTGCAAGACATTCTATATTACATCCGGAGAACTTCGAGATTAGGGCGTAATTGCGTTTGTAAACAAACACTTCAATCGCCGATTTCTCGCGAATTAAACCTCAATCTCACAAACTAACAACACAAACAGATAGAGGAATGGTTCCTCTATCTTTTCGTATAGTTTGTTCGTGAGATTGTCCTTTAATTCGCGAGAAATCGGTGATTTAAGTGTTTGTTTACAAACGCAATTACGCCCTAATCTCGAAGTTCTCCGGACATGATATCAAGCTATCCCATTGAAGAAAACTGTTAAACTGCTGGAGGTTGTCATTGACCGGTCGCTGAGTTTTGACCAGCACCTTCAAGGGGTCAAGGCCAGCTGTCGCAGCAGGATCAACCTCATCCGCACAATCTCCCGTCTTCATCGGTCCAACAACAATCAAGAAAATCTTTCAAACCGAAGATATAACTTTCATTTTGAAAATTTTCCCAGTTAAAACTACGAAATTTGGGAAACTTTCATTTTGAAAATGCATTATTTTTATAGCAACAATTTTTGTTTTTTGTGTGAGACAGCTGGCTGATGTATGGACTGGAGCTGACCTGCATCGCTTCCCAAAAGGCAATACAAATACTCGCTCCGGTGTATAATAGCTACAAGCGCATCATCTCTGGTCTCCTACCCTCGACGCCAGCCGATGCCAGCTGTGTCGAAGCCGGCACTCTCCCTTTCCGGTACCGCATCTACGCAGCCATTGCCAACAAAGCCACTGCATTTTCAGCAAATACCGCCGGAAACGACAGAATCTGCCTCCTCCGCGAGGGGGACAGAGTTATCTGTACAATCGCCAACGCAGAGCTCCCCCCAGTGGCCAAGATTCACTGGTATGGAGATAAGAGTTGGCAATCTCCCGCACCAAACATCGACAGCCGGATAAAGGAGAAGTTCAGAGCCGGGGACAATACCGTAGCGCTAAGGAGATCGGTAGCAGAGCTGACCGGATTGTACCCAAACTACATGCATCGTTACACGGATGGGTCAAGATCTAGAAGTGGAGTCGGAATGGGAATCGCCAGTGACATTTCCCCAACGAGTAGAAGTCTGCCAAAACAATGTTCGGTGTTCTCGGCAGAAGCAGCGGCTATTCTTTATGCCGTCACGGTTCCTGCGGATCGTCCAATCCTGATCCCAGTCCACCCTTGGATCCAGGACATCTTGAAGGTTGCGCCACCAAACACTACATACGCATGGATTCCCGGACACTGCGGGATCCCAGGGAACATCGAGGCGGACAACCTAGCCGGGTCAGGCCCATCGGGTTCTCGGTACTCGCACAAGGTACCGTTGCAGGACGTGAAGAGATGAATCACTTGTACAGTGCGGACAGCGTGGGCAACGGAATGGTCCAGTGCCAGACTTCCATTTATTAGAAAAATTAAAGGTGACATCGGAAAGTGGACGGACCTTGCAAACCTGCGATATCAGAGGAATTTTTCCAGACTCCGGACAGGACACTCCCTAATCTCACAAGATTTCAGCGGAGGACCCTTCAGGACCCTGTGAATTCTGCCATATTCCTTCGACGGTGGAGCACGTGTTATGCGTATGTCCACAATTCGAGCACCTTCGTTGCCTCCACGGTCTGCCTGCCAGCGTACGGGACACGCTAGCAGACGTGCCCTCGCCTCAAGCAGCTGTACTGCGCTTTTTGAAGGCGGCGAAGCTTTTTGCTATTACATCATTATTTCATACAAAAATTACATTGATCGATATTACATTTTTTTCTGTGTAATCTAATTCCCCGTACAGACTGCCAACTGCTGAGCCAAAAAGTGGAGCACGTTTCTTCGGGACCTTCCAGTCTTAGAATTACCTCTATGGTACCAGAGTTGAGCCAAAAAGTTGAGCACGTTTCTTCGGGACTTTCTAAGTAGTCTTATACCATAGAGGTAACTCTAAGACCACTGGGTCCCGAAGAAAATCATTATTATTTTTGGCTCACTCAGTACCAGAACAACGGTCCCAAGCAGTCCCAAGCTATTTCACTCACCCCTGCATGTTCTGCATGAATCCACACACGCCTGATGTTATCTGTCAAACTTTCATAGCGAATCAAAACAAACATAGTGTAGTAATAGAATTTCAACAAGAATAGGGTACGTTAATCGTTTGCTTGGGACCAATAGGCTACTAAAGTGGTGAGCCAATTTAAAATCGTTAGTTTCGTATTGATTGTTGCTTATACCCCGTACAGACTATGGCTTTTATGATTATTATTATTTATCTTTATTAGGGAGGCTTTCAGCCTTGGGCTGGTTCGCCTCCAAGGCTTTTATCATGTAACATAGGTTGTCTTGCAATGAGCACTCATACATCTATATAGTATTACATGATATCGGCTATAGTCTGAACGTACTATTAGAGTTACCTCTATGCAAATACCATAGAGGTAACTCTAAGACTACTTAGTATACACTAATACAATTCCACACATTTTTATTGGCGAATTTCCATGTAAAATTCCACATGATTTTCATGTGACCACACATAAACAGAATCCACATAGAACCACATATGACATTTATGAGTCAAATGAATAGTATTTGTGGTTACACATGGCTTTTATGTGTACACATATTAAAGTATGAGTCCGACACATATTTGTTGATCACATTGCAAAAATTCATGTGTGGGACACATAAAAACAATCTTTGAAATTTTATCAGTGAGGTCCCGAAGAAACGTGCTCAACTTTTTGGCTCAGTTCTGGTACAATCGGTCCCAAGCTAATCGATGCACCCCTCGAAACATACGAAAATCCACGAACCCCTCAATTTATCTGTCAAACTTTCTTAGTGAATCCTGGTTGCAGAAGTTTGGATGTAATATTCAACAACTTTTTTTTCTGTGTAGAGTGCTTTACTAATTTCCCCGTGGTGCACCCAATATTTTTTTCACAGGGAACAAACTCGTCTAAAGCCCACACCAAATGCGACATTTTTAGACGAGTCCGAGCGAACTGACAAACCTGTCAAGCATATTTTTCGATCACCCGCACACAAACATAGCGCAGAACAGCCATCAGTTTTCAGAAAAGAAGAAAACACGAGTGTGAAAAAAGCGACGAGAAGCGGATGGCGAATTTCTCTGTGGATCTCCCGTCGTCTGGATAAAATTGGACTTTCTTGTGCAAAATTGTGACTAAATTGGTGTAAATTATAGTGTAATCGTAAGTTTGTGCGATCGGCGATAAATTGTGTATGTAATTCGGTGTTTTTTGGTGCTTTTTAGTGGTGAAATTGGACTCGAAAAAATCGGATCGTCGCGACCCAACAAAAGACGGGGAGAAGTTTTTTTTCCCCGGTCCACTTGCGCCACTGCTACTCTGCCTCTTGTCCGCCAACAACGTACTCCCCTTATTCTGCTTTTCATTATTATTTTGGCTGGTTGATTCAACGACGGAGGGTAGTAGTTGTGTTTTGTGTATGTGTGGAACGTTGTGCGCGCGGTACGGTTGCGGCTGGCTGCGGAATCGGGACGTGACAAGAAGACGGGTGTTGGTAGCGCTCCAGTAACTCGCTGCGGGGCCAGAAAGAAGCAAGCTGAAGGAAATTTCGCTAGCCAACAGCTACCTAGAGCTAGAGGTGTAGTAGCAAACAGCAAGTCGGGCCGAGCATTTTCCGGAAGATTTTCAGGTGCAAGTCGTCGGTCGGAAATTGGCATTGCTCAATCAGCGGAGAGGCCGCTTCGGTTTCGGTTTTGTGGAAGCTACATCGATGATGGCAGTGAAATTTTTTCGGTGATTACATTTTGTGCAACTGGAAAGTGGCGAGTGCAGGAAAGAGGTTGAAACTCAGGAAAGTAGTCAGTGAATAAATTTGATCGAACGAAACGAGCGAAAATTGGTGCAAAATCAAATGTATGAGAATAAAAAAAAAGAATACTGCTGTCGGTTCTCCTGGTCTTGTGTTTTAGCAGCAAACGAAGAAAACGAGGAATGCACAGTGAAGAGGCCTTTCGAAGAAACGAAGCAAAATACCTACATAAATTTTCAACTGAAGTGGATGGTTTATGTTATTAGGAGGTTCTTGGCTCCGTCGAAGCGAGAAGAAAACAAGAAGAAAGCCAGCAGCCAGTACGGAGTGGATTGATTTTTCTTTTTTTTTTTCGTTTCATTCAATTTTCAGTTTGCCCGTGGTGCGCGTGTTTCGGTGTACAATATGCCCCCTATTAGTATGCTGGCTGGCTGGTTTGGCAATATTATTTCCTCGCGGAGATAGCGCCGAGTGTTTGATTACGAAATTTTTCCCAGAGTGAAGAAGAATGTGTTTTGTCCGACGAGCAAGCAGCTTCATATTAGTTTACGACTTTGCAGACAAAATAATAACAAATCTAGACGGGCGTTTGTTACCAAAGCGGAAATCCGGGCGGATCGATGTGGTTCTCTGGTTCCAAAGAGAATAGCGAGCAGGGTTGATTGCAAGACTTATGGACTTAAGGATATGTAGAAATGCTTTTATTTTTCTTCGAAATAACAGCATTAACAGGTATCTTTCAAAACTGGATCATAATATCCTTTACAAGAGGTAATTACAGGACAATATGGTGTAACATGCTTCGTGGTATTTCACAAAAAAAAAAACAAACTTTGAGGAAATAGAAGAGTAGCATTTTGGGTTTCAATAGTCTTTATATTGTGAAATCAGTCATTTTTGAACCCAAAAAATTTAGAAATCTTCCATTCATCTTTTTATGCAAGTTCTTAACGGAGGATTTGCTCTTCGATTGTGCTACATTTTCAAGTCCCGGAGTCTTACAAGTTGTGTATATTTATCACTTCTAATCAAATTGTTTAAAAAGCCCTAAATTTAAAAAAATCTGATGTCTAGGATCTCGAAGTTTGAGCCCCAGAATTATGAAATATATTCTTAGCCTTAAAAGTATTTAAATTTGCATATGTGTAGCATGTTTAAGAACTTTACTCGTCCTAGATTTTTTAAAAACACCAATTGGGTTCTTTAGGGGTATTGAGGTAATTTCATGTTTGGTCTTCTTTTTGTTCGTTGTTTACACGTGAAATATTAATCGGATGCATTTCAAATAAATCGGGCGCGACTAGATACTACAGAATCAATACAATACGTTTGACTTATTAAAACAATATAATTCGTAGTTCTGGCGCTAGGCGTAACAACCAGATGCATCATAGAGTTGAAAGTTGGAAATACGCCATGTAAGAAGAAACGTTTTTGATGATTTGAAGTGCTATTTTCTTCTAATTTTTCGTGTTTATCGATTAGTTTGTGAGCTGTGCTCTCTATTTGTGGCAAAATATGGTTTGTTTACATTTTGGCTCTTACGCCCCTTTCTAATGTAAGTCTAGATATAATCCTAATAAATCTAGTTTTCTTCATAATTCCACGGCATATCACCAGTGTTGGGTGATAACAACATGTAAGACATTATCAGGTCGTGTGATGTTTTCATCTCAATTTCAAGGGCAAAAAAACTTTTTCTTAGTTTTAAGTGATACATGATGATAGATTAGACTAGTAAGTATGAAATAGTAAGTTGTGAAATGGGATCAACTTTTAGGTCATCAAATTAGGACGGATTTTGGAATTTCACCCTTTTCAAATGTTAGTCGAGATTTAATATACAAGCTATAACCAGAACGTACAATCCTTGACCGTTCTGGCTGATTCCGTTAGCGCCGCACCATACAATTGGTTTCTCTATCCACATATCTTGTGGATAGATGAAAGAGAGAGCTTATAGCGAATTTCTTTATTATTCAGTTCCAACCTGGATCGGGTATCAAGATCGGCTCTGATTGCTTTCCGACAAACGTCAGTTCGATCGTTTGTTTTTAAAACCTACCTCAGGTTGATGTTCGAACTGACAAAAAGTTCGGTTTCACACTGTTAGAAAGAGCAAACAAACCCATTCGGTTACTCACGGAGACGCGACTCACACCCAGGGTTGCCAAGTGTTTTTTCGAAAAATCTGGCAATTGTAGAATAAAAAGTCTGGATTTGTCTGGATGTTCTTGATAAAGAGTTTTTGCCTAGTTTTTCAAGATGTTCACATTTATTTTTAAGAGAACATAATTATAAGGTAATATATAGATACTCTTAAACATACTTTGAATTCATATATTTAAATTTGATGGTCGAGGAAATATGCACCAAGCCATTATCATTGGTGTTAAGGTTAACATGTTTATTTGTAACCAGAATTCCATGCATTCTCGAAATTTTTTGTCTGTTTCGAGATTTCGAGAAGCCACTTAGTGCCTTAGTGAGGATGTCCGGCAAAATTTTCTCGTGCACGCGCTGTTCCTTCGACTCCATTATCAAAACTACACGCAGAAACTCACGCAGTGTTAACACCGAGGCCATCTTAACCAAAATCTCATTAAAATTAACCCAAAGGGTATCTGAGTGTGATATATTTGCTCTCTGTGAAACATGGCTTTCTTCCGATAAAGAACAAAACTTCCACGATTTTAACATTATACGCCTGGATAGAGACGATTCTTATGGAGGAGTACTCTTAGGGATCAAAAAGTGCTACTCTTTCTACAAAATTTTCCTTCCTGCTCTATCAGGCGTCGAAATCGTCGTTTGCCAAATAAATGTGAAGAACAAAAACCTTTGCATAGCTTCAGTTTATGTTCCACCGAGAACCTCCATTAGCCGTAGTCAACTCTGGACTCTAGTTTCGATTCTTCCATCCCCAGTATTAATTATGGGTGATATGAACTCCCATAGTACGGGGATTATGACAATAGAGCGTTTTTTTTTGCGATTTATGTGACGATTTCAATTTGACTATTTTGAACACTAGTGAAGCGAAACGTATAGCAAAACCTCCAGCTCGAGAAAGCCGACCCGACCTAGCTTTGTGTTCAAGATCGCTATCATTGGATTGTCTGTGGAAGGTTATCAATGATCCCCATGGTAGCGATCATTTACCAATCATCATTTCAATTAAGTGTGGCCTGCAGAACCATCTCGAGTTCCATAACATAGTTCTCCAAGCTCAAAACAGTTCCTAGAACTTCCGAGAAGTTGATTGAACTAAAAGTAATCCTACAAAATTCATGGGAGCTTTCCAAACTTCAGGGAATTTCCAAGAAATTAAGGAAAGACCCACAAACTTTTGGAAAACCCTTTGATATTTAAAGCCTTCAGTTATATATTCATATATAATTCAGTTAAGTCCTTCAAACTTCACGGAAGTTCTCAGATCTTCGAGAAAGTTCTTCGAACTTGAAGGAAGTCTTACGAACTTCTGAGAATTTCTACGAACTTCGTGGTACTTCTACGATATTTAAGAAATTCCTATGAATTTCAAAAAACTCTGAACTTCAGGGAAGTCCTAAGATCTTAAAAAAAGTCCTTCGAACTTCGGGAAAGTCCCATGAAATTCAGGCAATACAAACTTCAATGAACCCTTCAGGAAAGACCTTAACGCTTCAGGGAAGTTTTACGAACTTTAGGGAGTTTCTGTGAACTTCAGCAGTCAGTCTTTTTAATAATAAGATTTATTAAACCAGTGTTGTTTATGAAATATTTTAATCATATGATTTTGAAATCATGTTGTAATCAAAATTACGCTAAATAAGATCCTTAATCGTTGACAATTTGCGGAAAATTTAAACAAAATGGAAATCCGTAAAATTGTTAGAAGTAAAGGTTTGTTTAAAGAGTCCTCATCCATATCACACTTCGCAATTTTTCAATAACAAAGTTAAAAAAAAATCGCAGTTTCAAAAACAGAAATCTCAAGATTTAGGGGCTTATAGATCTCTAAATTTCAGACATTAGATAGGGCTCCACGCTAGTCCGTCGTATATCAGCTTTTCTTCGTCATACACTCCTAAAATCGCTCATTTTACGGGTTATCGCAAATGTTTCAGTGCAAATCGTAATTAATCTTGTAAGCAAAGATGTTTTTGCCAAAACATGAGTGAAAACGCTTTGCTATTATAGCTTTAGCACATAGAACGGAAATGGGCGCCATGATACGACGAAGTAGCGCGGCTCCCTACTAGCTTCTTTGCAGCAAACAATCAGCTAAAGATTTCTCGGGCATTCACAAGAACCTTAATACCTATTTATTTTGGTTTGTGATTCCGCATTGCGCGAAGATTCAATTTTTTATTAAAAATTGATTTTTAAACACATGCTTTTTAAAACCAGGAAATTTTTAAATCATTGACCAGGAAAACTAGGAAAAAACCAGGAATTTCA